AGACACACGTAATCGACGACTTTGACCGCTGCTCTCGTTCGAGCTTTGGCTACGTAGATTGAATGTTAGATTTGTGCTTTGCTCCTATTATTTCCTTAAGGCATTTCCAAGTCGCGCCCCATCCGTGTCGGCAATTTTCCCTCGGTTCCTTTGGGGGGAAGCGACACTTCTTTCACGATAAATAATGTACTCTTACTCGGCTTTATCGTGCACCGTAATCGCTACGGCCGTTTTAATTTATGCTTTCGAAGGGTCAAAGTTCTATTTTGTCAGATTGAACGAAATTCTAAGCGGCAATACTTGGCTTGCGGAGTAATGTGGCGCGTGTGAGAACTTTGGAAGTGATGCGCTGATCAGCATGTGGGGAATATTGATGCGAGCCGAAGAATATTCCCATGCGTTCGTAATCGATCATTTATAAAACGGCGATAAATTCCGTTACCGTGTTCCGTCGTTACCAGAGACACGCGTCTCCGAAGCTTTCCCCCTCTTGTTTACAATACCGATTTAATCGCTCAAATATTTGTTAAGTCTTTGGTACGATATTGAAATATGCATAGCTCTTGCTCCACTAATTCATCGCTTTAGATATATCGTCGTTCGGATATGATCCCAAGTTAAAATAATTTACGACGTTTGCGTAATTTGCCTGAATTTTAACTTTTTATAGCTCTAGATTGGATAATTATACCACGAAAAAAAGCTCAGGTATTTAATTTTGTTTGAAAGAAAGTCAGTGAATGGTAACGATTCGACGAACTTAGCAAAAATTGAATTAGTTGATTAGTTTGATTAGTTACGGGCATTTGTCGCTTTTATTTAATAGAATTTTTCAGTCTATTTAACTATCGACAAATTTCATCCCTTTTCTTTTCCCATTGTACCGAAAAAAACATATAAATTAACATTACATATTAATTACATTTAAAAAAAACAAAGAAAGCAAGAAAAAAGAAGGCTTTATTGCAGTGATAATTAAAATGTAGAGTCACGTAACTTAATAAAAATGTATAAGTATAGTTCACATATTTTTGCTAAATTGCATAAAACGAATAAATAAAATTTTTTGTTGACACCATCGAATAAATGTTTCGCTATAAGATTTAGTAGTTAACGTTTTTTGAGGTCACGAGAGTGCACAATTAATACTAAAACAATTAATAACTGTAGTTCTACTTTACTAAAAGCAGATTTATAGCTGTTTAACTTATCATCGTCATCGGTAAAATGTTGCTTTAGTGCTAACTAAAGGCTAATCACAACGAGCTATTATTTTAAATTGATAATTATGAGTGGCGGCGCGCGCCTTCCAAGCGACAAATCAACAAACTTCACCTTGCAATATTTCCACAACGAAATAAATCATAATATATTTTTATTTTTTTCCCTTCTCGCCTACTCTCGACGATCCTCCTATTCTATCGCGGCTACTTACTTACGGCCAATGGCATGAACGCCGCACACACCATTGCTTCTGTTCGCATACATACCGATCGCTCATCGCATTCCTTCTCATACGTCCGCAATTTTTCTCGGTCGTTGCTCAGCGCAACTGCCCGATCATTTATTCGAACGACTATCTCCCCCCCCCCCCCCTATCCCCCTCTTTATCCCCTCTTTATCCCCTCTTTATCCCCTTTTTTATCCCCTCTTTATTTCCACCCCCCCCCAGTCATAAGCCTCTCGGTGTATGCTAACTTGCTGCTATCCGTAGTAAAGAGGGTTCGAACGCGCCAAATATAATGTGGCGAGCGAGCGGTCAGTGGCTGCGGCGAACTGCGTCCCGACACTTCGCAAAATTGGGTCTTTCTATTTACGGAGTTCCTTGGGCTTTTTGCGTACTTGTGCTTGGAACAACTTTCGTTGATAGGCTGTCGATGATGAACGAGGACCGACGACAGTGGTGCGGACAGTCCTTTTTTCTAGGCGTACTTAACTGGAGAGAGTCGCGTACACCGGCTGGTCTGTCTGTCTGTCTGTCTGTCTGTCTGTCTGTCTGTCTGTCTGTCTGTCTGTCTGTCTGTCTGTCTGTCTGTCTGTCTGTCTGTCTGTCTGTCTGTCTGTCTGTCTGTCTGTCTGTCTGTCTGTCTGTCTGTCTGTCTGTCTGTCTGTCTGTCTGTCTGTCTGTCTGTCTGTCTGTCTGTCTGTCTGTCTGTCTGTCTGTCTGTCTGTCTGTCTGTCTGTCTGTCTGTCTGTCTGTCTGTCTGTCTGTCTGTCTGTCTGTCTGTCTGTCTGTCTGTCTGTCTGTCTGTCTGTCTGTCTGTCTGTCTGTCTGTCTGTCTGTCTGTCTGTCTGTCTGTCTGTCTGTCTGTCTGTCTGTCTTTTATCTTTTAAATCTCTAAGGTATCGAGGCCGGCGATTACTATTAAAGTCAATGCGATTCGCTGGATAAAAATGCTTTGTGCCAGCTGATGAGAGGGAAAGCGCAACCGGCCGGCCGACCAAGTCCAGACTCTCTCTACTTAGGCAGCCTGCCGAGTGGCAAACAACGTTAAAAAGGCACGGAGCACGGGCGCGACAAAAATTCCCATCAAACTCTCGATGCGTTACTTGGTCCATTCCCTTCCCGAGCATCTCGATGAAATTTGGACAATTCGCTCGAAAATATGGTATGGGAGCAAGGTCGCCGCGGGGACGAGAGCGCGCGTGTGTCTGACGTTGGAGGACGCGCGACGAATCATCTCGCTCGTTTACTTTTTCCTCCCTTCAGTCACTGAAAATTCATCGATTCGCTTTTTACGCTTTGTCGGACAATTGAAACAGAAATAAGCCACGCGAGTTATGCCAAATTTTTAGATGAGGCGAGACACAAGGACAGACAGACTAGCGTTTGAACCGTGAATGGGAATAATATTGTTTCTTTCTTTATTATCTTATGCACCGCCGACCCTCGATTACTTATAGATTTTTTTTTCTTTTTATTAAAAGCTCTTGTGTCTGGAAGCCATTGATCGTTATAATAATCGATGCTGTTTAGCGTTAATCGCGCGTTATGAGTAAACATACGAAGAGACGCTATTTGGCTTACATAATGAAAAAATAAATGAAAATCAATGAATATATGCAAAGAAACACTGGAGTAAGGAAAACAGTGAAAAAACAAGTTCTCTGCGCGCCCGTGTACGTAAGAATAGAGATAGAGAGAAAGGGATGAAGTGAGATGGAGGTAGAGAGGTAGAGGTAGAGAGAGAGAGAGAGAGAGAGAGAGAGAGAGAGAGAGACAGACAGACAGACAGACAGACAGACATGCAGCGGTGCTGGGCGCCTTTATATTTAGATGTCCGGGCTGCCACCGAATAAGGTGGCTCTTCACAGTATATATCTAAAGCAGTCGCCCATCCCTTCTTTTTCGCATTTTCAAATATTCGCGACATATTACCTTGACTTTTTGCTTTGTGCGTTGGAGCAATCGATCACAAACTTTTCTGTTCTATTTTATTTAACTTGTTGTTTACGGTTCGGTATTTGGTCGCTTCGCCAATGAAGGACGATTCGACATATAACATTCGAATACATTTTCCGTTAGTTATTTGTTTCTTCGGAAGCCTAACGCGCGATCGAGTGTGCACGTTGATTTAATATTAGAAGTCATCTCACGAAAGATGCTGTAAATATTTCTTAATAATGTCGTATTATTTATAAGATTGCTTAAACATAAATTAGCGCATTTAATGAAATTTGAAATTTTTCAAATGCAAGTTGATACTAATTCAAATAATAACCATATAAGCTTAAGAGCATTATTTCGCTGTTGCAAAACAATTATAACGAAAAAGGAATTATTTGTTAAACGGTACAATTTTAGCCTTGATATTGCAAAAAAACAATTTACAAAGAAGCCACTCGCAGACATTTACCTTATTTATTATTAATGTTTGAATTATTTGATATTCCATTTCTTAGATTATCCAAAAGTGCATTGACGTTTTATTCTTAAAATATATTTTGCAGTTTATTTGTTGTCGACAATTACATATAAATTTAATATATGATTGATTCATTTGACATTTTTTTTAGTTTAATTTTTAGAATTAATCGTTAACGACAATCTCAATAACAGTCGGAAATAAATTATTAAGCGAGGTTTTGTTTTTCATTTTATGAAAATTTATATATTATTATTATTATTATTCATTATTATTCATAACAGATAATGCCAATATTCGTGTCGAATATGTAAAACGAATGTTCTAAATGTAAAACAACAATATTCATAGACCGTAGAGACTTTCCAGCAAATAATCTATCTGTCTTCGTTACTACATGAAGCCAAATTATCCCTTTATTTTCGCTTACGACTTACCTTAATCTCGTACCATCGTATAATCATTTACCCAATTGAACTTCATTTAAGTTCTCATGAAATAATGGTGTAGAAATATTAATTAAAGTATTAATTTAATTTTTACTGTATTTTAGTGAAATTTTTCATATTTGCGTATATAAACACCAGAATGAATCGCATATATCGAGATATAAATAACTGTTTAATTAATTATAATATTTTAAATATAAGTATTGACGTCCAAGGTAGGTATACAATTATAAATTTTTTTTTTGAACTTACATAATTTACATAATTTAATTTTGTTCTTTTGCGACTTTTATTCAATCTACAAGAATCTTGAAATAGATATTATTTTAGTAAAAATTTAGAATTCAAAGATTTATATATCGATCACGTAGACAAGTGAATTTATTCATATGAGATAAAATAACATTGAACGTTATATAAGACTCATAATGGAAAATCAAATTTTATTAACAGTATTAGATATAAAAATTCGAATCAAATTTGCAGAGTGGAATGTAGATTAATAGACGTTAAAAAAATTATTTCTTATACATGTTAATTCATATATAATTAATTATGTAAATAGAGCGAGCGATGAAAGGTAAATAAAAAATATTGATAATTAATTGTAAAACTTATTATTTTCTTAGCTTTCTAATTTTATCATTCGTACGTCTGTTTTCATTCGGTATAAACCATTGGCGGATTATTTAAATCGTAAATAACTTTTTATCAAATTGTCGACAGTCTCCAGCGCATGTGAGATTTTTAGAGGAAGGAATTAGGATTATTACTCCTCTTTGGAATTATTAATTTCTGAATTTCACTGACGATTTAAAGGATATTAAATGAAACATATCTTTATAGTCTTTACTGCTATGTTTGTATGCTACGATAAAAGCAGAAATTTATTATATACTTGTATAAGCTTCAACTGTAAATAAAATAATCTATAATAATTGAGCATACATATACAAAACTTACATTATTGTAAAATCGTTATTTTTATACGGTATTAGGTTTGTTGTTGTTGTTGTTGTTGTTGTTGTTGTTGGTTTTTTTTTTTTTTTTTTTTTTTTTTTTTTAAATACATTATAAGCAAGGGAAATAGAATTAGGCAATAAGTCACTCGCAACGATGATTTTAAATATAAGGAACACCAGGAATAACAGCTCGACCAATTCAACGTAGATTAAAGCATCGATAATTCAAGTCGGCAATCCAAAGGATAATTCTTAAGCCACTCATGACATCGCTGACATCGACAGTCCTAATGATATGACGTGGACTAGACGACAGCCAATTGGCCAGTTTGCGGTCTATTATTAAACATTAAAAGGCCCATGACGTGACAATTGCCAAGGTCGAATATGACCGTCAGCTCGAGATGTTTCACACGAGATTATGATTTAGTGTTTAAATATCATCTCCTCTTCGCCCCTCAGCCGCCCTCCCTAACACACATAACGTGCGAAGATGCTAATAATACATTCACGAGACGGCAGACGCTATTACTCTAATGAATTATCTTTTTGGATCTCCTACTTTAATGCGTAATGCAGCCGTTGTCGTTGTGAATATATATATATATATATATATTTATATGTAAGAATCTGGATTGGAGAAAGGGTAACTGTGAAAATCTTTCAACTTTTCGTACGTGCACCGATCGAAACGAGCAAACCTCGTACTTTCACTCGATCGAAATGTTCTCAAAATACCAAGATTCAAGTTAAAAAACAAGCAGTTAGAGATATCCTTGATTAAATAGTAAGATTAATGATTTAATATTAAATTATTGATCTTTAGCTTTGTTTGTTTTTTTTTTTTTGTTTACTGTAAATCGATGTTTACTTATGGATACGTAATCTTAGCATCGTATTAAGAATAAATATATAAATTTTGTTTAATCAACCATTCCTTCTTCAAAGCTCATATGAAATTTCGAAATACCGTGAAGATATTTCAACATTCGGCGAGTGGAAAAATAAAACTGATATTTAAAAGCAATGGAAAACACGTTATCGCAGCTTTCCATAAATGTAATATGACAATTGTTCTAAGACAATTTTATAATTTTATTATTACATTATCGATTAATATTCTTACCGAATAATTGAATGAAATAGAATAGAGCTCCCACATAATTAACGTTTATAATGTTTTATATCTAATATACAAAATGTTAATATTGTATGCGCCTCGTTATCATCATCATCGGCGTTATCATCCTCATTTATAATACTCGTAGCATACAATTGTTGTAATTAAGAATGGGTCATTTTTAAAATAATAATCTGAATCGGTTATTTTTGTCATATTATTAGTTCTATATATTTTGTGAAAGAATTGAAATATTATGGGTCACTTGTAAAACGAATCGATCAAATTGTGCATTTAAAAACAAAAAAAACAAAAAAAAATGTAACCCCACGACAGAAAATAATGAAGGCAGTTAAGTTATATATAAATTACGTCTGTTTCTTTCAGAATTCCGGAATATCAAAGTCAGCGTCAGCCACGGCTACTGGGACAGCGAACGCAAACGCGGCTCCTGGCAATTTTCCGAATTTGGGCCAATTCAGTCATCTCCTTACGGATCCCACTTTTTTAGCGGCTTTTCAGGTAACCGTTTTCACTTCTGTTTGACCATAATTTTATCATTTTAAGCAATAATTTTTAAGAATTTTTGTTTTCGACATTGGGAATTGTCAGTTATGCTTATAGTAAATCATTATTACTTTCAGGATCCAGAGATACAGGCAGCATTCCAGGATGTTTTAAAAAATTCTTTCAATATATCAAAGTACCAGAATAATCCTAAGGTTATGGGACTCATCAACAGTATGCTTTCGAAATTTGGCGGAAGCAATCCAAACGCGGGTGCGACGGGCAATTTGGGAAATGCAGGAAACCCGGGCAACTTGGGTAATTTGGGTAACTTAGGAAATCTCGGTAACTGGGGTAACTTGGGAAACCTAGGTAACTTGGGTAACTTAGGCAATTTAGGCAACTTAGGCAACTTAGGTAACTTAGGCAACTTAGGCAATATGGGTAACATGGGACTTCAGGATATCTTGGCCAATTTGTCCAATAATGCTGGTGCAGCGGGTGGAACGACGCCACGAACGCAGCCTCCACCATCCAATTACGATGACTTGCCCGATTAAATGCATCAAACGATTATGCAGCTGAATTCTTAATTGTGCGGCTGCTCTCAAGATGTACGTACTATTAAGATGTTCACGGATGACTTTATTCTTTCCATGCAAGAGACAATAATGATTGACTTGTAGCTGCATTTTTTATTTAATATTTTATATATATATATTTATTAAAAATGATGCAAATTTCAGTGAAACACAATAACAATGTACTTTGGAATGTAAATTTACGCTTTCGTCTTTCCACTTTATTGAACACCGTCGAACTAATGAATTTATCTTGTGTATAAAAAATACTTTAAACAATTTCAAAATTAATGGCAATTAATGAAACTATCATAACAAAACAAAAATAAAGCATTTTTTTTTTATTATTATTTTCTAGAAATTATAAAATCTTTTCTACAAAAGCATTTGCATTTATATACAAAGTATTATTGATTTGAATGTAATATCGATTTTGTGTTTCGATTAAATGTTCTAAGATTATATAATATTCGTAAGATGTCTTTGTGAGAATATCACGTTACATATAGCATTAATAAAATTTTAATTAAAAAAACTTTAGTTAAAAAGCTACGTTAATTGTCTCCATTAATTGCTCTGGCTGGTCTTCTTTTTTTTTTTTACTCATAATAAATATATTGGTTAATGCGCCTACGGCAATGAATTTTTATTGCATTTTTATTGCATAAACGATTGATTAAATGATCATTTATCGATTGAAAATCTATCAATGCACGCAGATATATTAAATTGAATGTTCAAGCACTTTGTTGTCTTCTTAAAGGGTGTAAAAAAAAAAAAAAAAAAAAACTTCGGTCGCACTTACTCTCTACCATTGTGTCATATTAAGTTATAAATACCCATATAAAGTTATATCAGTAATGATTTTCAAGTAATATAAATATTATAATATTATGTTCCATTCTCTTGAGATCGTCGTCTCTTTATCTTTGCGAGGGGAGTACGAGCGGCGATTAACCGCTCGCTGATTAAGGTAATTAGACAGATACTGAATTCGCTCATCTAAACATCAATTCTCTTGAAAACACGTGAATAATAATTGTATTGACACACCGACGTTTCATCAATGTTTAGCTGAATGTTTGTATTTTATCGCTGTGTGTTTTAATGTCGTATTATGAATTCTTTAAAAAATTAATTTTGAAATTAATTCACATACGTAAGAAGTCAAATAAATGAACAAAAGAACAACCAGTTTACCTATTAATATACAATGCATAGAGTGAATTAAATGAACATTAGAAATTTCTCATAGCAAGGTCAGGACGTTTGTTACTCTACAAAATAGCCACTAACTCCGAGCGATAAATTTAGATAAGAGACAGAATAGAAATTTATTGAATAAAGGCATTGGTAAGCATGAGATATAGTTTGACACTCGAATTTGAAGAAGAAGAAAAAATTTACTGCCATTGCTTTGGATACTATATGTTTAGCATAAGCCATTCGATTGAATTCTGTAATCTGATGGACACTTATATATTCCATTCGAGGGACATTAGTTCCGATTAATAGCTTTATAATTGCGAAAAATTATAGGAAATGTAATACGTACGTCACGTACAATATAAATGTAATACCATATTTGCTTCTTATGAAATTAATTATCGATTAAATGCTTGCGATTGAAAAGAATTTCTCGATCGCAGCTTCGTAATGAGCATGTATTTAAATATTTACATAGGTACACACTATAAAACGATGTAACATTACATAATATTATTAAAATCGTAAAGTCAATATTTGATGTAAATTCATACAATTCTTAATGTGTAGATTTTCTACTTGTTTTTTTTTTTAATAAAAAAATAATAAATAAAAAAAATACCAAGACGACAATTTCACGGGTGTTGATTCAATGCAGATGAAGAAAGGGGGAATGATATTTTATTCTCTATTTGATCTATTGATATTTTTTATTCTCGTTCTCAATTTTGCAAAAAAAAAAAAAATAATTTTTTTTTTTTTTTTTTTTTTTTTTTAAATACAATCGCCATTGTAATGCATATTAAGCATTACATAATGGCTGCGCAAACGTAGTAATTTGTCTAATTTATGTAATAATTATTTATAAAATATCTAGCTTAAGAATTATTAGGATCGTCCGATTGTAGAAGAAGATGCCGAATATTTAAAAAATATTTTATTTAAAATTTGCATTTTGTAATTCTATACAATTTTTAATTGGTTCGAAACAAATTATATGCTTATTTAATTGATATTTACGATTTAAAAATTAATGTATTTACTATATTAGTCTTGAATTTTTTTTTAATAAAGATGTCGAAGTAAACACTCTTATCAATTTTAATTATACATCCTTACAAGCATTATACTTTAATACGCACGTTTGTTGTTTTATTTTCTTTTGCCATTATACAACAGAGTTAAACAGAAAAAAAAAAGATTATATATACAAAAGATTTAATGTCTACGTCTATAAAAAAAAATACTGTTTTAATAGTAAATCTCTTGAATTATTACTGTATACAATAAAAATAATAAAAAGTTTACTCTTAAGAGTAAGCACAATGGCTGGCTGATTAGATATAGTCGCTATAAATCTCGAATCAATAATTCATCAGCGGATTCGAAAGGGACAGAGTATGAGTATGAAAAGCTTTCTTATTACACTATTCGCTTAAGAACTTATATTAGTTTTATTCTTTTGTCGTGAAAGCCCTTATAAATCCTGTTGCTTAGTCTTGAAATAGCCGATTAATTGCATTAAAGTTGCATGCATATAAGTCATCTCTTATGGATATTTTAAAGTCTAAAAATGTATTTGTAAGGAAAGAATATTTTTTATTTTTAAATTTTTTTTTTTTTTTTTTTTTTTTTTATATATATACATTAATAAAAAATTATGTTTGAAAAAATTTATTATTCATGTTAGTTGGGCTATCTAGAAGTTAGTAGGTTAATGCTATTAAATAAGTAGTATCGAGCGTATGTGCCGATTCTTTTCGTTGAAAATGAGATTGATCGTTACAGTTTCCATAGGTCCATTTTTCAATAAATTGAATATTGATATTAAGTATATTGATGGGAAATCAGCAGATAATTCGATATTTGACGAGGATTTTTTTTTTTTTTTTTTTTTTTTTTTTAAGATATTAGTTTTAAGAATTACTCGATTAAAATATAAGTTTTATCGAGAAAACAATTATTTTAGATCGGCAATAAATTAGTAAAGACAAATATTGATTATACATCTGTTAAGTATAAACATTATTTATGCTGTATTTAATAAAATTTCGGAAATAAATATTATTATAAAGTTTTGTAAGGGATCCATCCTACCTTTCAATATTCTAAGCCAATATTCTATTCCTACAGACTACTTGCGAATGCAGGATCCTGTAATATAAACTTAAAGTCACAAGTACGTACATCCCATACACACTTTGTAATAAGAGATTTTGATTAAGCATATAAAACATAAATAACGAATTGTTTATTATTATAATCAACGCTAATAATAAAACTAATTTTCTTTCTATGTGTGTTTCCATTCTTCTCTTAATATTTTTAAGTTATTACGCCGCCCACATAAGTTATTGCAATTGCCATTAATTGAAATTACTTCAATTCCGTAAGTTCAATTAAAATTGATATTCATTTATCCAGTCTCGCGATTAATATTTAATTTATAGCAAAAGAATGCCCAAAGTACTTGTTAAAACTATATACAGAAAATGCATTCCATCGCCTTATTATATTCTACGATATTCGCAAGATACAAATTGATAATAATAAATAGTTTCGGAGATACTAAAGTAACAGCAAGAGCAGCAGCAAACGACACCGAATTGCTTACCACTTGCCGTGCGTTTGTCCGAAAATTGTTCGCGACGGCCTTCCATCCAAATGATAACAAAGAACTAACACGCTCATCACGTGGCGTCCATTGCACGAAATAGAGATAGAGAGAAAAAACGGTTGGCGTCTGCGGGCTTTAAAGTTCTCAGGCTCGTCTGATCTTAAGCATGTGGAGGTTCGGGTGCCATGGCACTTTGCGGAAGGTCGAGGTCCTGGCGACGACTCCCCCAAATTCGTCCTCGCTCGGGCGCTCGCGCTTCCTCGGGGGTCGCCGGCGTCGAGAAGCGCCTCGTGGCGTCGACGGACCGAGGCTCGGCTCCAGGTACAGCCAGCTCGCGCTCTCCGTATAAGGGTGTAGATAGCCGCTCTTGTGACTGTTGCACGAGCCACGCCGGACGTCCAGCTTGACATTGCGTCGCCTGTAGCGACAGTTATTGGGCTTGCGGTTGTCGCTCCAGGTCCTCGGCTTAAACCTGAAATGACAGGTGAGTTTAGTATCGATCACAAAGCTACACAAATAAGCGGGCATTAGATAGAGTTCGAGGGCAGACGTGAGAGGGATGCCAAGGACAGCGAGATTACTTATAATACTTTAGTCTGGAGTACCTGGAGGCAAAGTTTTCAGCCACTCTGTGTCGTCAGTTGAGTGGATGGTCGCTCTTGAGTGTCCTATAGCATTTGTTCCACGCCTCCAGCAACAAGACGCAGCTGTGGAATCGATAGAAGATTAGCAGAGGCAAGCCGATCCTGGATATGATGCCCCATGCCAGGACACCGAAAAATCTCAGCTGTAATTCCTGCGATATCCAGTTCTGCGTGACAACGGTATCGAAGGCCCACAGTACCGCTGCAAAAAATCGATCGATCCATAAATCAGTTATCAGGTGCATTGTTGCGCGCGCGTTGTAAATATTTTGAAGATCGTAAAAGCTATTCGTTGCAGCTTTCACAGGAATATTTGTTCAATTAATTTGAAAATGTAGAAACAAATTTAAAGACTCGTCGTCTTTTATTGCGGACAACGATGCTCTGTCGTGGGAACAGAGGTTGGACAATTTCTCTCTTTCCATCACTGAATATCCACGAGCTTGTTAATCATACAAATTATAAAAGCATGAAATATTCAGTTTATCGCATGATTTTTAATTTTTCTATTGTATTTCTTTGTTTTTTTTTTTTTTTTTTTTTTTTTTTTTTTTTTTTTTTTTTTTTTTGTAAGTTGGTTCTCTTGATTAGGGAGTGTTCCTCTCGACAATACGTACCATTACTAAACAGCAGAAACGTGATGATCTGCCGGCCTGGCTTGGCTATGATTTGGAAGCGCGTGATGCAACATCTCTTGGAGGCCTCGGCTATGAGTGTACTTTGTGCGAAGCACTGGAGTAATTGTAGAACCGACGCCGCAAGGAGCATCGTGTGCCTCCCGCGCATATCCTCGATGTCCTTGTTGGGCTCGAGTCCGGGCGCCTGGCAAAAATAATTCAATCTTAAGGAGATTGACCATAATTGGTATATTCGCTTTAGGGAAGACATTATTATAACGCATTATTTACCATTATTTACAATGTGAATAATACGCAGATTGTTTAACGCGACACACACGCACATACACTGAGCAGGTTTCTTTAAGTTTTTACCTTAAATAGGCTAGATACTATGTATTAAATGTATATATAGGAAATTATTAAATTCAAAATTACGATTTAATTCGACTGGGAAACAAAAGCTTTGCCAATGAAATCTAAGCAATTTATAAACAATTTATAAATGTACAAGTGTATCATTTATTGCCAAGCATTAATCGACATTATCTTCTTGAAGCTTTCACAATTGCTCCCGATGATTATTAGATTATTATAAAATTAAATAAAGTACACTTTACCCTCTTCTAGAAATGAGAATACGTTTGGTTTCTCCTTCTCTACTGTTATCATTAATCACCATTAATGTTGTAAAATAATAATAAGTTCCATTAAGAAAGTGGAATTGCGATTTGTTCGTTCCTTAGAGGATAATAGGGAATTATTAGAAAAAGGATTGCTATTGCTGAGAAGGGGCTCTTTAACTCGTATGACGACATTTTAACATTCGAAATGCTCGTCGAATATTTATGTTGGTAGACGTGAAAATTATTGTTCGCGTTACGCACGGCTGCCATCTAATAAGCTACAAGCCATCGCAACACCAATCTAAAGCTTTAAAGTAAAACAATTAGTTGGAATCGCTTGGAAGCGTTGACCGATCGAAGCCGATTGACAATGTATGTGCGATCATTGCGGTGAGTAGAGATCGGGAGGTTGTCGGCGAGAAATTGTCCTGCATTGTTATTGAGTGGGACCGTTATCCCACGGTTAATGACGAGTACAGAAGGTGCGCGGATGCTGTTAGGACGGCAAAGAAAGTACGTGTAAAAATGCACCTCCAAGGTAGCCAGCGAGCAGGCGCAGACGACGATGGTGAAGACCGAGTAGAGCTGGACACCGAAGAGGGCGACGTTCGAGAGGAGGGTGTCGAGTGGAGCGGGCAGCCTCGAGACGACGGACATCTGCCTGATCTGGACGAGGCCGCTGGCGGTCATGAGACCGCTGAGTGCGAGTATGCCGATGAGAGTGCCGCAGGTGAGCCAGGAAAGGGTCGCCGACGGGAAGTGATCGTCCTCGCGCACCACCAGGAATATTAGGATGACGACGATACCGGCGACCATGCAGAGGATGCCGAGGAAGAGGCCTTTGCTCGAGCCGTCGCAGCCGATACGCCCGGAACTCGGCAGATCCTTCATGCTGTGAAACTTCTTGTGCAGCAGCCGAGCCGAGCGGCCGACGTTCTGGCCCATCACGAACGTCACCGCCGCCGCTATCAGGCTGCGGAAGGGCAACGCGCTTGAGATTAATCGCCAGGGGGAGGGGAGAGATGAGTACGCGACGCGGCCGGGAATCGCGCTTCTGATGGGCTTTTAATGATAACGATAATTACGGCCGATAGGTGCCAAAGCGATAATTGATGTCCTCGTTAGTCGGCGCGCTCGAGATGACGTCCTTGATGGATGAACCTGTACTTAAATTCCCGGGCAGGGTTGGAAGGGAAATTTTCACGAGCGATAAACGCGACTCGCGCTCTCCGCCCTTATCTCCCTGTAATGACCAGCAGTCCTCTTCTATTTTTACGAGGAAATAAATTTTTTTCTTAACGTAATTACGGTCGTGTACATCTAGTGCGCTTGTAATATCACGGCGGTCATGGCATATCTTGATAAGATTTTAATAAAAGTAAATGGCTACGTTCTACATCGTAGACCAATGATTCGGTTTTTACGGTGCATATATTTATTTGTTTGTTTTTGTTTTTATTTTTATTTTTATTGATTTTATTTATTTATTTATTTATTTATTTATTTATTTAGTTATTTATTTATTTTTTTTTTTATTTTTTTTTTAATTTTTTGAAACTATTTTAACTAATGCGCGACATTCGATTTCGTTTCGATAGGTAACGTACAAAGAAGAATAATTTAATGAAAACAATAAGGATACCGATTTTTATAACCGATAATAAGCGATGGTTCTGTTCTTTTTTGTTTTGTTTTATTTAACCAATCAACGTTCAACTGTTTACTTGATCTTTAATTCTAATCTAAAAAAAAAAAGAAAAAAAAAAAAAAAAAAAAAAAAAAAAAAAAAGAACAAATAACGTCCTTCTTGATAGATCTCTGTAGTCAAGTACCTGAATTGTACGATGAAGGGATAAAGAAAAGGCATACTCGACGTCCAAAGTTGACCCAAAGTATTTGTATTTAGGCACTCTTGTAAAGCTACAACTTGCGAAATTTGCTCCTGAGAAATTGGTTCGTATCTATCCACTGGATTATAATTCTGATAGGGCAACTCGTCTGAAAATTGTTCTCATTAATAATTTAAATAGAAATATATCTTAAAAAATCAGCGGTAGATGATATTAGAATTTAAAAAATAGCTTTGCCCGATTTTTCTTCTTTATACCTATATTTTTAAATTAAAATATTCAAATTCACATCTTCCATGTGTGTATACTTGCTAAGAAGGCATTGAAATTTCTTAGCATTTTATGCCAATGTCTATATAAAAATTTAAAGATAAATGCTTCTCGTCACGATAAATTCAATAGTAATAATAATCCATAAAAATCAGTTAAACTTTTAAAATAGCACATGTAGCAATTGCTGCGTATATTTTAGATTTTAATTATCGCGACTCGGTCGTAGAAAAGACAGTACCATTAGTTCATTAAATTTTAGTAAGTGAAACAAAAAAAAAAATAAAAAAAAATAGCAGTTTCCCAAAAATCGAAGTGGATTTCTCAATAAAACGAGAAAAATTTGAGATGACAAATTCGTTTACCAGAAACTTCTCGCGTCTGCTTCGTGAGCGATCCTGGGAATCGTCGGAGATTGAGGGGTGATGCACCGGTCAATGGTCCCCGTTGGGCCACGTGCACGAAGTAGGTCCACTCCTGAGCCGAGTCCCAGATAACAAGGCGGGCCCAGACGGCGATATTCGTCGCTGCGAGATGCGTGAAGCCAAATCGCGCGGCTAGCCCGAATTTTTCCACCAGCACCTGTTTTAACAGTTCGTGACGATAGTTTATGAATTGTGAAAAGGGTAAAGCGACGGGTTTTTCTTCATTTCGCCATAGGAATCCGCGTGATCTAGCCAGAGCTTCCACGTGAATTAAGCATATTGGAATAGACGGAGAAAAGATGGATAGATAGATAGATAGACAGAGAGAGGTAGAGAGAGAGAGAGAGAGAGAGAGAGAGAGAGAGAGCCGGTCTTTTAAATATTTAAAATACCACAACTCACTTTATAATATAGAGCAATGTATGTGTAGTTTGAGTGAGGGTAGAGTAATAAGGGATAAGAAGAGACGTAAGTTACTGTTGGCCATTTGTTGCCAATGTGCAATGACACCCTCGAAAGATCAAGATTTCTTTCATTTTGGAATTTGCAAGGCTTATTTGAAATCAGTGATATTGAATAAGAGTAGTCGCCATGGCGTTGCGAAAAAAATCAAAGTGAAATGCGTTCCTCCTTTCGCGCATTTGAATGAAAGATTCTCACGATGAGATTTTCCAGAGCATGACAGACGCGCCGAGACACCGTCGGCGAGAAGAATTAATTCACAAAAGCACCAAAAAACAAAAAAAAAAAAAAAAAAACATGAACAAGAAAAAGAAAATAAAAAATAAAACAATTCATGCGACTTTTCAAGATAATTAATTTTACAATCGTAGCGAATCTCGGAATTCATAAAGTCTTCGTTTGGCTAAAAAGAAAAGAAAAGAAAAGAAAAGAAAAAAAAGGAAAGAAAAGAAGAAAAAAATCCTCTACTCGATAGTATCGCAATCACGTACTTGAGAGTTGACGAAGAGGAAGTGCATCTGTAAGAAAGTGAAGAGTCCGTGGAGCACCGGATGAACGAAGATAACGTCGTTGAGACACTCGGCGCCTTGCATCATCGAATGCATCGCCATCTCCAGCCCATTAAATACCAGCGTGGCCAGGCCAAAAACTGGAAAATAAATTTATGCTCGCGCTACCTATCGGCCTAATTAAGTAGCTTATTTTATGCCGTGAAATGCATAAAGTCGTTACGTAAATTTAAATCTCGAGATGAGGTATAGCCAGGTATAGCCGACATGTTTGCTTGTACTCGGTAATAAAATGGCGGCCGAGACTAAAACGTTGATTGCGCGCAATATGTCGCGTTATTTCGAATGAATGGCTTTTACGAGCGTTATTACCATCACTTAGACAGCTGTGTTTTCATAAAAATTTTCAATACAATATGATTTGTAGCTATTGAGGATTCTCCATTTAGCTTCACGACCGTGAGACGCGACATTACTAATTGCTATTAATTATCCATCGTACTCGTCGGTAATACTGTCTGATTAGAAAGATGGAATTACAGTTACGCCCCTACGCCCTCAAATTCATTACTCGCGATCAAAAGTTTCTCCTTTCTCCCATAATGTCGTGCATTTTCATTGCCAAAATCAGGGGAATCTGGGCGAAACGTCATATATGCGCATTCGCATGTGAAATGGAAAAGTAAGCCAAAGCGCTACTTTAAACGAAAGTATATTGCAAATCACTTGCGTTATACCGGAAATCTAATTAATCAGATTAATCCAAGTCAGCTTGGCAGTTACGTGCGAATAAAAGTGAGCGCCCTTACTAATGACTCGGACAATCTTCGCGTATTAATGACGTAGCAAACCGTTGATAAAAAAAAAAAAAAAAAAAAAAAAAAAAAAAAAAAAAAAAAAAAATAAATAAATAAATAAACAAATAAATAAATAAAAAAACAAATAAAAATAAGTATCTGGAAAAAATACATAAATCAGAGAATAAGAATTTAATTGACAATAAGGGCTCGCGATAATCGTAATTTCTCAAGGCGTCCGATTGATCGTCATCGAAATTAGCCAGAAGCTGAGCGAGGACAGGTTAATAATTACGAGGCATCCGCAGCTCCGTTCGACAAACTCAACTCACGCAATGCGCCAACGCGAATGTAGAAGCTGGTCGGCGAGGTCCTCGCCCTGGATATATGAGCCCGCTTGAGCGAGCCGAACCTCGTGAGGGAGGCGCCGCCGAGCTCCGCGTCCTGGAAGCCCGTCGTCCCTGAGCGGATGCTGCCACAGCTGTCGATCAGCACCCATATGTAGATGCCGATTATCACAGCGATGCTGCCCACGTACATGTACATGAGGAAGATGCCCTGTAGGTGGTGAGAAGAAATTTTTAATCGGTCTTATTACGTGGATGATGTCGGGATGATGATGGGACTGGGATTACAGTGAGAGCCAAGATATTCGAGGGTGATGACTTTGGTACCGTTGTCCACGTGTTACGGAGACCGCGTTAAAGAATTTGCGTCGTTTGCACATTGGAGGTTTCGAGGCTCGTTATTTACGAGATCAAAGTTGATAAAAGCGCGCGCTCAAGCCGTTGCTCTCTTGCTTTTCAAACGAATGATGTCTCGAATCCTCGAGATATATTTTAATTCTCCATATGTGACTAATTACGTGACATATCCTGATCTAATAATTAAATTTGTTAATAACTATTAATCAGCAATATTGACTTTCGGCGTGTCACGCGAGTCATCCGAGTTAAAGAAATAAAAAAAAAAAAAAAAAAAAAAAAAAAAAAAAAAAAGAAGTAAAGTTGCTTGCAGCGCATTTCAACATCATGCGCTTATTGGCTAATAATTTTAATTCTTCAACGGATTACCGTATAATTTTTCAAATATTTTAAAGGGAATCTATGTGCTTTTAACGCTTCTTAAATAAAACTAGCACGATATACTCCGCGGTCTTGACAAACCCATCGTACAAACGGCATTCCGGGGCAATGAATTTATTAAAACAAATATTACGC